AGAGCAAACTGGTATTCCGCTTCAGCTGGGGAATTGAGGAATTCCGAGGGGGGAAAACCCTACTGGAATATCATGTCCCCACATAATTGATGTTGTGGCAGTCCGCGATAAGTTCTCTTATGGAGGAACCTATCGAAAACTTAAAAAAATTAGTCACAAGGTGGGGCACATATACTTAAAAGGATCAACATAAAATAGCTAATACTCGAAGTTACACATTCCGAAAGAAGTAAGATCGATTTTAATTTTGATATTATAATATAATCTTATCATTATCATTTTTGTAACTTAATAATTTTAGTACCATTTTAATATTCATTTCAGTTTTTTGCTTTCTGTTTCTAATTTATGAAAAACAAATTAATATTAATTTATTTAATCTTAATATTTGTAATACTGAAAAGACATATACCTTTGAAAGTAGAATAAATGTATCTTACAACAGATTCCAATTTTCCATTCCAATTTTCAAATAATGCTTTTAACATTTATGTCATGTATCAATATCAACTCAATTATTTAACTTCTTCAACTTATCATCCGTTTACAGTAACCAATTCATGACTTTGCACTCTAAAGGAATATTTTGCCATTTAAAGTGTATTCATAAAGTTAGCCCAAATCATTTTCATGGCAAAACTTTGTAGCCGCATCTAACGAGCTCGTGAAGGAACAAAAAAAAACAAGAAAGCATTCCCTGCTGCAATCCCCTGGCAACTTTTAGCGAGCATAATTTCAAACAATTTAGTAAAGTTCCAGTGGCATTTCATGCTGTTTACATAAAGCAAATACGCGCAGTGCGGAGGTGAAGGTGGGTCCTCCAGGAGGTGGAAAAACCCAGGATCAGGGACACGCGCATTGTAAGGGCTCGGGCAAGGTAAACGAAGTAAATTAAACAGGGGGAACAACAACTGAAATGCCCACAGTGGGCGTTGTCGAAAGGGGGGTTGTTGGGGGGCAAAGAGACACTTAAACAGGCAGCATACACTTTGAAAAAACCAAGAAAAACTTGAAAAAATTAACAAACAATAAAAATATATCATATGTATCTTCAATGCAAAACTAGACTTATATCATTTTAAGATTAATATGTTGTAATTTTGGGATATTATTAACTTACACTCAAGAGATATATCTTATTATTTTCGTTATAAGAGGGTTCTTACACCCATGACATAGAACATCATTTTTTGTTTTCCAATTTTAAGGACTTTTCTCCGAGTGCACCGCATTGAGAAGCAGAGGAGCAACAACAAGCACAATAACGAATAACGAATAACAAGCCAAAGGCATGCGAAACAGCAAAAAGCAGGAGAAACCCAATAACATAAAAGCAAAAGAATTTCTTGCCAAAGGATGATGGCCAACCTGCCCAGGGGGGTGGCGAAGGGGAGGGCGGACAAGTAGAAAAACCCGCTTACAACAGCGAAAAAAAGCAGCAGCAGCGACGCCAAGCCAACCAACGACCTTGATAAGTTTTACACAGTGCAGGGGGAGGTGGTGGGGGGCGCTAAGAGAGCAGGAGAGAGAGAACGAGAGAGAGATCCCAGTAAAAGGAGCTCCTTGAGGAAAAAAGGGCGGCACGGCAGGCCACCACAATCGATGCCCCCAAAAGTGGTGAGTTTCGCCACGCGCGAGATTGCCCTCTTTCTCTCTCGCTCTGCGGCTCTCTCATCAACAAGTGGCCCAGCTGTGAGTGGGGTTGATAAGGGGCATGGTGGGGCGGTGGGTGGCGAGGGGAGTTTTGCTGCTCCTTACTCAATTCGTTTTTTTGTGTCTGTGTGTCAGAGAGCAAGCTCTCTCTGTCGCCCCTCTCTTTGATAAACAGCCTGTGGTGAGTTTGTTTTCCTCTTTTCAGCCTGATTATCATATTCTGCGTTTTATTATTGAATTTCTCGAAAATTGCCTGTTTGAGTGTGTTTGTGACGCATGTGTAAAGTGCGGCGCACAAATTGATACAACAGCCGCCCACCGCCCAACGCCCCTTTTCCACCCTTTTCAACACCCTTCCCCACCCCCCCGCAGAAATCAAAAAACAAATTCCGCCAGTTAGTCTGTCAAATATGTTTGTTTTCCTCTCGCCCTCTCCTCTTTCTCTCGCTCTCTTTCTCTCTCTCTCTCTCTAAACAGTCAGCTGCCAAATCAGCTGTCCGATTTAAGGCAAATTCATTTAGCATTATTTAACAATCACAGCCGCAAACGGAGAATAGAAAGCGGGAGATTGGAAAACATGTGCATGGAAAAGTTTGATCTCCCCTCTCTGGTAAATGGCAAAAAAAAAAACGGACTCGCCACATAGCCACAAAAAAAAACAGGCAAGATGCAGAACGACAACGGCAAGCAACTAAAACAACTACAACTGCCTCCATTGTAGTTACCTGCAACGTGCCTGAAATTTCAAAAATGCAATATCAAAACCAACGCGGAACCAGAAAGATACGATAGTTTGGGAAAACCACACTTGAAATACCCTTATACGACATTACAAAATATTTCTACAATAATCAGAATCTCTTATCTAAACTACTTGCATAGAAACAATGTCGTAACTTAATCAAACATTCCATATACTAAACAATCTTTGTTTTTTACTTTGATGCAATATTTTATTGTAGTGCTTGATATGATGAACACTGCATACTTTTAGCCTAAATGTATCTTTTATAGAGCAGCTTCCTGGAAAATTTAATAATGGTAATCTGTATAACTAATTTGGAATGAAGATGGTTATAATATTCAAAGAATTCAATGTAAAGGATCAACATATGCATGATTCTTTACTGTTTTGACCATTTTCGACCCAAAGGATCATATCTTATGCTTAGTTTTTAATGATTTCCAATTATTTACCGCATTCCTAAGCGTATAAGACCCTCTGCTAGGGTATTTCAAGCGCCGTGCTGCACTTGCAACTGCCAAACGAAACGAAACCGGACTCAACTGGACGCCCGCCCCTCGCACACACACCCATTAAGTGCTCACACACACTGGTGCCATTACACACACACACACACTCTATATCCATATAGACGACGCCTAGTTGAGCATTTTGAACGACAACTACAGCGGACAAGCCATAATTAATCAGACCTGGCCGGCAATATTTTACAAAAGCGAAACGAAAATTCCGCAACTTTAAGACGGAGTTTCTGCAGATCCTTAACTCGAAAATGTTTTTCCACATTGTTGCCATCTAGCCAATTTGGCCTTATCATTCGGCCAATAACACGTGCATTTCCCAGACAATTGCTGCGTTCCATTGGGCTGACTCAATCGCGCACTTCCTAATCACAAACAAAATTCTAACAAATCGGTAAAAACTTGTTTCTTGCCATCAACAGCAACATTAATTCGCATATTTTTACAAATTATATTAAAGCTCAGATACATACATGTGTAAATACACAAACACATGGAGTATTAGAAGTTGATGACGGCAAACACAACAACAAACCCAGCATTCTGAATTTTTCGTGTACTTTAAAAACTTGTTTTATTTATTTGCTTTTTGTTTGTTCTGCCGTTGCTTGTAAGCTTATTGAACAATTATATTATGGCATAAAAAATGACAATAGCTCAATAAGCGATGTTTGCACTCGCTAACAGGGAAGAAAGGTCTGTGAATAACTTCGAGGGTTTACGTTAAGAGTCTTAAGTGCAAGGATTTACCTATCATATCGTATTTCACGGCTAGGCTCGTGTTGGGACTTATTTATTGGTTAATAGTACGAATTCAATTAATCATTTAACGGAAATTTCCATCAATTTCTCTTTTGTGGAAAGATGAAGCTTTATAAGAAGTGGAATAGTTCAAATTGGTTTTCAACGTCAATGAAATTGAGCGAATTTCGGCTACAGTTTTGTAAAGGGTAATACTTTCGGTACTTCATACACTTTCAGGATGTAAGAACATATGTATTTTTGGGTCCTGTCTACGAAAAGTTTGCTTATATTAACTATATTTATAATGATATTTTATATATTAACCACCAAATCTCAAAATCATCTTCTTTTCTGGGAAATGCTTTATAATAAAAAGTCATACCTCATTTTAAACAACGCTTTGCTATCTCGATTGTGCAAAATCCATTCATGTACCGAAGATTTTCCAGACCCAGTGGAAAAATTGCATTAAACATTTAGCATGCAAATAAAACAATTACAATAAATTATCGAAAAAAAACCCCAGTTACCCGAGCAGTGATTTTGTAACAGCATTTCGCTGGGTTTTTTTCACCCGCACGAACACAATGCAAATATATACATATGTGAGGTAATAATTGAGTTCGTTTCGCACAGTGTAAGTGGGGGAGGCAATGTTCGCCTCTTGATTCTTTTTTCCTTTTCTTGAGATGCTCTTTAGTCTGCCCCTCAATTGTCGCTTCATTGAGAGAGGGCAAAATAAAAGAAAATTAGAGGGGAAGAGCCACTTAATTCTATGCTGCAGTTGGATAAAACGATCTGATATGCAAAACAAAACTATTAAGTGGAAAATTCGAGTTTGAGCTGCACAGAGAAATGGATGATTCTATATCGAACTTTTAAAACTTGAACTGTTTTATGACAAGTTTGAGTTATAGAGATGATCACACCAAAGGAATGTTTAACTTAATTGCCAATAAAGTCAGTTGTTAAATCTAAAGATGTTAAGTTCTATGTAGTTTTAGTAGTTCGGCTTAATTTTCAATATTTCTTGTACTTTTTATATCTGAATAGTGCAAAATCTTGATCATTTCCCCAATAGTAATAGAGGATGGGAAACTACATTGAAGCTTTGATGATTTCTTATTACTAACATATGTATTCCTCGAACTTATCCCAAATTCAAAATTGGTATAAGGAACTAATTCACCAAATAGATAATTTTATCGTATAATAGGAGATGAGGGATTTTCAGATGGTCAGTAATATCACAACCGACTTTTGAACTCAACATTACAAGAAGTGCATTCAAAGAGGTGGAATAAGTGGCAGAAACAGAAAGGCTAAATTCAACTTACCGTCGCAAGTTCAAGGCCAAATGGCTCTCTCTCTCCTCTCACGCTCTGGGGCTTTTCGCTCTCTCTCTCGTTCTCTGCGTTCTGAGAGTGTTGTTGTGTTACATGTAAAAGAACTTTCGTTTTCCGGAAAAGGGTGGGGGGGTTGGGTGGGCGAAGTGGCCCACATGCAACTACCGTTAGGACGTGCGTTGTTTTTTGTTTTTCTTACGCTTTCGCACTTTTGCACTGCCTCGCCTGCTGTTTGTTATTGTTGTTCTCTGTTGTTCGCCAAACAGGAGCGACTTTTGTAAATTAATTAACAACACTCGCCACACTCACTCCCCACAAGCACACACGCACGCACACAGTTGCGTTCATCATGCGAGCGCGCGCTTCGAGATAAGCAAAGCAATTTATTTGCACTAAAATTTACTTTTGCGCGCTGAGCGAGACGTGGGCGACGGGGGGGTGGGGGGTTGAGGAGAACTCACCACACACAAACACACACTCACGCGACCGACGTAAGAGCGCACGTTTTCGCCCGTTTTTTGGGTATATTTCAATAATGTCAGCGTTGTTCTGATCTGATCCTATATACTAGGCTAGTTCCCGGATTAAGAGTCAGCGTTTCGAAATCAAAGCGATCGATTCAAAGTCTGATCAGATCGGTCCAATCGGAGCCTACGACGAAACAAGTCAACAACGACGGAGCGCTACAACAAATGTGCTGCGGGAGCTTTGCGCGGGTGGGTCACACTCGACGCGGGCTACGGTCACACCTGGCGATGGCAGTGCTTCGATAAGTCGATTGGTGGTTCTTAGCGATGTGCGTACTTGGCGCCAACACAAAATTTAAGGGTCTACTAAATTAACTTTCCAAAGTTTTGACTTTGAATTGACAGAGTTGCAATTACCATAATGAACTTAGTTAGAGGAATTCAAGGTAACCACTGGCAAAACAACATTAATCCGATAAAAAAAATTAAAATACAGAACAAAACTTTTAAAAATGATTGTATGTGTGTCAAAAAAGGGGAAGTTAATACCGTTTTGCGGAAACTACATTTTGAAATACAAAAAAAAGAGTCGTTTTAAATTATTTAATTTTTCGAAAATAACGATTACTCCGGGAGAAAACCTGTTTCAACTTAGCCGTAGAAAACCTGGCATTTTCTGACGACCCACCTACGGTCACATTGCTGAACCAAAACAAAACATGCCGGGTTTGAAATAAAAACTTTACTTAAAAAACTACTTTCACAGCATTGGTAGATTAGCTTTCAGAGCATCGAACTCCTTCTTTCCAAGGGGCTTGAGATTAGTGCCCGAAAAGGGCGATTTGAACTCCAGATCGCGGTGTTTATTGACCAACAATTTCTGGTCGGAGTAAATCAGGTTGATTTGCTGTTCAATTTGGTGTTGATCTGCAGGAAGCATTTATTAATAAGAGGATTTGTTATAGGAAGTAGTGGACAACCTTTCTTTAGCAAATATAAGGCCTTTTCCTTCTCCATTTTGACTAGCATGCTGCCAATGGTGATCCAAACTTTCTTGTCCTCGGACTTTTCCATCAGCCGCAATGCTTCCCGAGTTTCCTGCCGTCGTTTATCCATAACAGTCAGTTCCTGCTTGTTGGCCATTATTTTGTCGGCCAACTCCTCGGTCTTGGTTATTATCTTAATGCTTTTATCCAGATCTGCTTGTGACATTTTGGATGTGTTTTTCGTTTTGAACGGTTCGGAACTCAACGCGGAAGTAAACAAAAACGTTCAGGGAAACCCAAAAATTCACTAACGCCTGTCACAGCTGTTTTGTCAGGGGCGTAATGGTCATTTATTTAATCTTAGTTATTCAAAAATAAAGAAGGCCGTGTCTATTTATAATTGTCGGCCAGAGAACTGCAAGAATAATATCCTATTGATGGTTTTTCAATTTTACATCAGATATTATTATAATAACTTTTATGAATGATATATATAAACGCAAAACAAAAATCTATTTACTTCTGTCCACAAAAGTGTATACAAATAAGCCATATTGAAGGACAAAATAAGTAGTGCTTTAAATATAAATGTGTCAAGTAACAGATATTTTCAATCAGATATCTTTACAGTATTCAATAAATCAATTCTCTGGTTACTTTTAAAGCTAATTTAAGTGAGGTTTAAATATTAAGAGCACCATAACGATCTTTACTCCCATACCTAATATGGTCACACTACAGGACATTAAAATTGCAACGTATCTACCCCCTATTCAATTCATTCTACCTGCGCCCCTGAACACATCACATCTCAGTCGCAAGCAAAGATGGCCGCGTCACAAGTAGTTTTGTAGTTCCGAAACGAGACGTTTGTTTACGAGCACTATCACACCGGACTGGATCTCCTCCAACATTCGTGCAGCTATATATATTCACAGGGACTCCGAAGCAATGCATTCCACCGACAGCGCCAAGTGCCTGGGCAGCAAATCCCTGGCAATCTGTTGCCTGCTCCTCCACCTCTTCCTCTTCCCCCAGCCAGCGGTGTCACAGGTAAATCCCATCCCCGGATATAAACAGGGCATCCATACACCCACACAGTTGACCAGTTTATAAGAGCCCTAACGCTCCTTGACCCAAACAAACATATGTTTGCAATGTGTGCACAGATGTTCGGCATATTGATTTGGCTGCATTGTGTGTATTTCGCGTGTGTGCGTAGGTGCTTTGTGCTCCGTGGCAATTATTCATTTTCTACCTAGGGTAATCTTAATCTCAAAAACCCTTTTCAGACTCAAAGTTCGCCACGCTATCTGCAAAATGTGGACAACAATAGCAACAACAACGAACGCCTGCAGCAGATTCTCAAGGGATCCGGAGCAGGATCGGCGGTCACACAGCTGAATTGGCCACAACCGCCCAAACAAACCATTACCGATGTTAAGACTGAGCTGTTGAAATTGAACAACAGTGAGTGGATATCCTTCAATAACCGAATACCCTATAATAACCTTGAATTCCGTGCCCAGCTTATGTTTACCAAAACGCCTGGCCGGCGAACAATGTCAAGCTGGGAGCTGTGACAGCCGTGAGCTTCGACAAGGCCGGCAACGTGGTGATATTTCATCGCGTGGACCGCATCTGGGGTCAGACCACCTTTGACATAAGGAACCAGTTCCAGGAGAAGTACCGCGGACCCATCAGGGAGAGCACCATCCTGGCACTGGAGCCGGCAACGGGCAAAGTGCAATACGACTGTGGCAAGAACTTGTAAGTATCTCTAGATGATTGAATTCCTAACACCTTTACCCAGTTTATTAACAAAAACATGGGGATTGTCCCTTAATACGTGACATTTTAGTTTGTACAATATAGAACCAACAGATAATTTCACAACTTGATCATTATCAATTTCATTAGCTTTGTAGCACTATTTTGTTTTCGTGAACTTTGTTTTGTGTTTATAGTGCAGTATATGCTTATCTAGTGCAGGCTAACAAAGTTAGCAGTTAAAAAGCCACTTTCATAAACAATTTTATAAATTCAAAAGTACTTAGACATATCTATTATCAAGTATAGAACATGATTAACTAACTTAGGCTTAAATCCTAATCCTAATCTTAATTTAAGATAGAGACGAGAATTTGGTCTTTAAAGTAACAGTTATTACTTCTAAGGCGGATTGTTTGTAAGGAGTAGATAGTCAGCTAAGTTATACAGCTTTGTCTCATCAGTAAGCCCTGTCTAATTGAATCTCATTCACAGCTTCTACATGCCACATGGCCTGACAGTGGACCCCGAGGACAACATTTGGCTGACGGATGTGGCCATGCACCAGGTTTTCAAGTTTCCGCCACGCGGAGGCGATGGAAAACCACTGCTTACTCTGGGCGAGGCCTTTCAACCCGGCTCCGGGCGGAAATTCTGCAAGCCCACCTCCGTGGCGGTCTTGGACAACGGCGACTTCTTTGTGGCCGATGGATACTGCAATGCCCGCATCCTCAAGTACTCGCGAGCGGGCGAGCTAATCCTTTCGTGGGGACAGAACACCTTTTCCGGCATATCCTTCGACGTGGCGCCCCAAAACTACTTCGCCATTCCCCACGCCCTTACTCTCGTTCCGGAGCTGCAGCTGATCTGTACGGCGGACAGAGAGAACGGACGGGTGCAGTGCTTCTCCTCCATTAACGGCACCTTCCACTCACAGTACCACAGCCAGCTGATAGGCGACCGTCTCTTCAGCATGGCCTACACCCCGGCAGCGGGTGAGTGGATCAATCTTCTCCTGGTATCGGTTTTCATGAGGTGTCATAAGAATCTTTCGACCGATTGACGTTCGTTGGGCTTTTCGAGATTTCATTACTTAGACTACTACTACGAAGCCCCTAATATATTATTCCCCTAAATATATCCCTTTTCCGCTTTAGGTGGGCAGTTGGTCATAGTAAACGGACCCACCGCCGAGTTGGGAATCCATCCCGAGCACTACAACGAGGTGCACGGCTTTGTGCTGAGCATGCGAAGCAAGCAACTGGTATCGAAGTTCGGTCCCAATAACCTGGAGTTCCAGAACCCGCACGATGTGGCGGTCACCGCCGATGGCAACGAGATCTACGTGGCCGAGCTGAATCCAATGCGCATCCACAAGTTCGTGCACAGATCGCTTGCCAAGCCGATGTCCTTGTCGGCCACTAAGGACTCCAGCAACAGCGCAATCAGCCGGGCTGTGGGAGAGTCGGAGGCGCCGGCGCAGACTGTGCACCACCCCAGTGGCAAGGCCATTCTGGTGGCTTCGCTTATGCTCCTCTTCGCCGGCTCAACCTTTGCCCTGGCTCTGATTTTCGCCCGGCGAAGGAAACGAGGTAACCAAGCAATCAGCTCCGCTCCGCCCAGTGACCTGGTGTACCGCCAGCTGACTGCTTCCAACCAGAGTCTCTGCTGATCCTCAGTGCTAACACCCCTCACTCAATGTCCTGTGTTGTGCTGTCACTTACACTTAACTGTATTAGTAACCCTTATTTATAAGTTTGAATTGGTTTACCTTTGAATCTCCTTATATGGCTGCTATTCCCGCTTTTTTGGTTTCGTACACCGCACAGCATGTATTATAAAAGTGTGTTTTGTATTTGCTTGCAAATTATATTTTGTAACTAAAATGTCGTTTGCATTTACTTATCCATATTATACAAATCCTTTTTACAAAATACATAAGCATACCTACAAAATGTACCTTTTTGTCATTAAGAGTCTTCTGTTTTTGTTTTCGGTTTGTTTCAGTGCACGCCAGATCGAAGATCTATGCATGAACTAAAAAGGGGAATGGGATCTCTCAGTGTTCTTGTGCCCGTTGATCTCATGGCAATTGTTACTTAATCTGTAAACCCCACATATCCCACAGGTTGTCTACCCTTTGGAGCCCGCAGTCGTCGTCACGCGTGGGAGAAGAGCGAAGGCTTCAAGCTTGGCGGTCTGCTCGATCGGGATCGCAATGGATTTGAGAAGCTGGACCAGCAGGCCAGCGATGAGGAGCAGGAGACGAAGTCGCTGGCGAGCGCTCAGTTTGCCTAGGCGATGGACCAAGACTTACGCAGCTAACGAAGCATTCCTAGTTCTAACTACCTGTACCTCATTGAAATACCGACTTAGTTGTACTCGTCGTGCTATGCGTGTTTTTTCGTTGTGATTTAGTTTCACTTTTTGTAGGGGCACATTCCGCAGAGAAATTCACACTAGGGTGTATTTATTTTCGATTTC